AGGGAGCGTCAAGGTCATTTAGCAGCCCCCTGACAGGTGAGTGTCCCCGGTAGGGGCTGTATTGTGGGGTGGAGGAAGGGAGGTGAGGGCTTTCAGATCAAAGGATCCACTGATGTGAAGATCCTTTGGGAAAACCCTCTTCTCTCTTAGCTCATCTCAAGTGCTGAAGGCTGAGGAGTTTGGGGGAGAGGCGGTGGGGCTGTGAGGAGGGGTCTGCCTCTCCCCTCCTCCCTGGGTTCCTTCTGGTGGAGGAGGCTGGGCTGCTTCCACTTTCCCTCCTGCCTTCGAAGGAAATGGCAGGTGACCGCAGCTAGGAACAGAAGGGGCCTGACTGCTTCCTGTTGCTGAGGGAGGAAGGCGCCCTTTCCTCCTCCTCCTCATCTCCAGGAAGGGCCCTTCCCAAAGCAGGAGGTGGTGCTGTCCATTCTGTAGAGCCCAGACTGTGGCACTTCCCAGGATCTGATTGTCTAGGTGGTGCTGTCCATTCTGTAGAGCCCAGACTGTGGCACTTCCCAGGATCTGATTGTCTAGGTGGTGCTGTCCATTCTGTAGAGCCCAGACTGTGGCACTTCCCAGGATCTGATTGTCTTGCATTCACAAGGCTCAGAGACCTGCAGAGATTTGTGTCCCCAGTGTGAGGGGGAGGGGGCAGCAGGGGGACTTCCTGAATGTCCTACAGTCATGGTTGGAGAGGAGGTTTCTCTCCCCTCGTTGTGTCCATCTGGGAATCCAACCCTCCAGATGCTGAAAGAAGACCTGAACTCTCTGGAGGGTATGAAACGATTTGTACTTGGCTCTGGGAGCAAAATAATTTGGGCGGGAACTGGGTTTGTATATTTGAGGGGGAGGGCATCTGTACTTTTTATAATTTGTGAAGGAGGTTCCCCATTCCACTCCAGCAGCCTTTCGCAGCCATGCCCATCCCCTCTTGTAACTCGGAAATCCCACCAGCTGATTCTTCTCCATCTCCACCTCCCTCTCTTGAGGCTGCTGATTCTGGTCCTTCGCTTGATGGACCTCCAGAGTGGACCCTGGGCTTTCTCATTGTGGCTTCCTCTCCAACTAACCCTCCTGTTTTTTCCACCCTCTTCATAGCACAACTTTGGGGCTGCAGACTCCCCACGGAGGGAGAGAGGAAAGAAGAGCAATCAACCTTGTGCTGAGTTACGCTGTTCTCTTAGGAGGACCTCTTCAGGCCCTTCCAGCCGGCTGTCACTAGGATGTATTTCGGGTCTTTCATGAGTGCCCTTGTGTAGATTTTTGTATGGGAAAATCAGGGTTTTTTCATCGGAAGGAATAATTCTAGGTCCTCCCCTGAAATACCCAAATGCCTGAGATTTGACATACTATACATGAGGTTTGTTGGGATATCTGGCGTGAAAGTCAGTAATGAGTTTCCGTGCTTTAACATGTACAGCATCCACCCATTCATGGTGTGTTTTAGGGAAATCTTTCTATTGGACCAAATATTGAAGTTTGCCCTTATATTTCCTGGAGTCTAATATGGCTAGAATTTCAAAATGACATTGTCCTTCAATCATAGTAGGGCGAGGCAGTAGTTTGGTTGGATGCCATGTACTGAAGTCTTTGAAAGACTTGAGAAGATTAGCATGAAAAACTGGGTGTATGTTTCTGTAAAGCTTTGGAAGAGTTAATTTAAAAGCAATAGGACTGATGACTTTTTCAATGGGGAAGTTTTTTATTAGGTTGAGTACTTTTTAAGTTTTTGGTAGAAAGCCAGACTTTGTCGCCCACTTTCCAAGGGGGGTTTGCAGAGCGTTTTCTGTCAACAAATTTCTTATGTTGTGCTCTGGCATTTTGTAGTGATTGCACGATTAGAGGCCATAGTTGAGTGATATTGTTGATCCATTGGTCAGTAGTGTCAGGCAGAGTGGAGGTGTGAGTACATTCCACACCAAAAATACACACCAGCATTAGAGAGATTTAAAGAATGCAATGTCTTTATCTTGTTCTCCAAATAAATCCAGCCAGAAATTATAAAACATATCTGGTTGTTTATTGAGAAAAATAAAACAAATACAAGTTTTATGCAAATCATATAAAAATCACTTCTTCTCTTTTATATGGCATCCAAAACTTAAAACAAAACTTATCCAATACACAATTTCAGCAAAGTCTCTAGCCAAAACT